TAGAGCCCAAACTCAGACTCTCCCAAAACTGGTGATGTTACGAGGTTGTAAGGGCCAAAAATCGACATCACAACCTGAGGATGTATACTGAGTGTTGTAGAGCCCCAAAATCAGACAAACTCCAACACTGGTGTGTATACTGAGTGTTGTAGAGCCCAAAAACCCGACATCTCCAACAATGGTGATGTATACGAGTTTTTGTAAGCCAAACTCAACAAAATACAACACTGCGTGATGTATATGGTTTTAGAGCCAAACTCCAGAACCCAACAGGTGTGTATCTGGTGTTGTAGACCAAACTCAGACATCCCAACACTGGGAAAAGTATACTGAGTGTTGTAGAGCCAAAAATCAGAATCTCAACACTGTTGGGGGTATACTGAGTGTTTTAGACCAAACTTGACACTCCAACACTGTGTGATGTAAACTGATGGGTTTTAGAGCCAACTCGACTCTCAACACGGTATGTATACTGGTTTGTAGAGCCAAACCAACACTCCAAATGAGGAGTATACTGAGTGTTGTAGAGCCAATCGACATCTCAACCCCTGGTGATTTTTATGAGTGTTGTAGAGCCAAACTCAAAATCTCAAAAACTGGTTGTATACGAGTTTTTGAGCCAAACCACATCTCCCCAAAACGGTGTGAACTGAGTGTTTTTTAAGCCAAAATCAGCACTCAACCTGAGTATGTATACTGATGTTGAGAGCCAAACTAGACTCCCCCAACACTGCGTGATGTATACGGTGTTGTGACCAAACTCAAAATCAAACACTGGTTATGTTGAGTGTTGAAAGCCAAAATCAACAAACCAACACTGAGTGGTATAGAGTGTTGAGAGCCAAATCGACATCCCAAAAAACTGGTGATTATAAAGAGTGTTGAGAGCCAAAATGACTCACAAACTGTTGTTTTTACTGAGTTTTGTAGGCCAAAACTCAAAATCCAACCGAGTGTGTTTTCTGAGTGTTGAAAGGGCCCCTCGACATTACAACCTGGTGATTTTTAAACGAGTGTTGTAGAGCCCCAAAATCGAACAAACATGGGATGAAACTGATGTTTTGGGAGACCAACTCAGACATCTACAACCGAGTGTTATCGATGTTTAAGCCAAACTCAGACATCTCCCAAAACGGTATGTATACTGAGGGTTGTAAGCCCAAACCCCAAAATTCCCCCAAAAAGGATGAGTATCTGATGTTTTTAGAGCCCAAACTCAGCTCCCAAACTGGTGAGTATATGAGTGTTGAGCCCCAAAATAGAATCTACAAATGAGGATGATACTAGTGTTGTAAAACCCAAACCCAGACATCTCCAACACTGGTGTGATACTGAGTTTGTAGACCAACTCAGACTCTCCCAAAATGCGTGAGTATACTGATGTTTTTTAAGCCAAATCAAAATCCCAACACTGGTATGTTACGATTTGTAGAGCCCAAAATCAAACCAACCTGCGTGAGTATACGAGTGTTTAGAGCCAAACTCAGACATCTCCCCCACTGGGAAAGAACGAGTGTGTAAGCCAAACCAACTCTCCAACACTGGTGTTTTATATAGTGTTTTAACCAAAACCCGCATCTACAACCTGAGGATGTATACTGAGTGTTGTAAACCAAACCCCGACTCTCCAACCTGGTATTATACTAGTTTTGTAGAGCCCCAAAAAATCAGACATCTACAAAAACGGTGTGTTATGAGTTTTAGGCCAAAAATCAGACTCTCCAACATGGTGTGATACTGATGTTGTGACCAAAAATCAGCTCTAAAAAAAATGATGATGTATTGAGTGTTTAGAGCCAAACTCAGACATCCCAACACGTGTGATGTAACTGAGTGTTGAAGGCCAAAAAACATCTCAACACTGGGATGTATATGATGTTGTAGAGCCAAACTCAGACTCTACAAAACGGTGTGATTGGTGTTGTAAGCCCAAAACCCGACATCTCAAAACTTGTGAACTGGGTTTTGTGAGCCAAACTCGACATCTAACACTGGTGATTATAATGATGTTGTAGAGCCAAAATCAACTTCCAACACTTTGATGTATCTGAGGTTTTAGAGCCAAAACCCAAAACTCAAACTGTTTGGGTTTTACTGAGTTTGTAGAGCCAAAATCAGACTCTCAACCGAGGTTTTATACGATGTTGTAAGCCAAAACCAAAAAATCCCCAACACTGGTGTTTTAACTGAGTGTTTTGGGGCCCAAAATAAAACTACAACACTGTGTGATGTATATGAGTGTTTTTTGAGCCAAACCAACATCTCAACACAGTGTTTTTTATACTAGTGTTGTAAGGGGGGCCAAAATCAACATCTCAACACTGAGTGTTGATACTGAGGTGAGAGCCAAATTTAAAAATCCAACATGAGTGTTTTAAGAGTGTTGTAGACCAAACTCAGACATCACAACCTTGGTGTATATGAGGTTGTAGAGCCAAACTCGACATCTCAAAACGGGTTTATACGAGTGTTGTAAAGCCCAAAATCGACCTTAAACATGAAAGTGTTTTGTATACTGGTTTGAGAGAAAAGACATTAAAACACTGGGTGGTAAAACCGATTTTTTTGAGAAAACTTGACCTAAACTGAGGGAACGGTGTTGTAGAGCCCAAAAAAGACTCTACAACATGGGGTTTCTAAGGGTGTTTTTAAAAAAAACTCAACCCACTACACATGAGTGTGGTATTGGTGTGTAACCAACCAGGGGCTTCAAAACCCGGGTTGTTGTATTGAGTGAGTACCAAAAACGCATTCCCCACAGTTTGTATACTGGGGTAACCAAAAACTTTGACATAGTAAACCTTTGGTTTAAATGTAAACCTGATAAATATACCCTGGGGTTCCCTTTACCAAAGGTATTTAGGGAAGTATTAAATGTACCCCTAGAGTATAAAAGGGGGAACAATGTATTAGGGAAATAAACTAGTATTTAAAATAAAAGGGAAGGCGTGGTTCAAAAGGGTTATAAGAAAATTAGGTAACCGGTACTGAAAAACCACTGGCCCAGGAAAAACCAAAAAGGCACATAGGTGAAAAACATCACCCCGAAAATACCAAAATGCATAAGTGGAAAACCTGGGTGTGTTACCACACCTGTGGTTTGCCACCTTCAAAATGTAACCGGGGGGTTATCCAACCCCCTTATTTTGGTTTTTCCATGGTAATTATGGGAGTAAGACCACACCTGTATGTTTACCACATAAAAGGGGACTGGGGTAACCACCTTAAATGTTTTCACGTTTTACCCAGAGTAATAGGTACCTGGGGTTATCACCTTCCCTTTTCACTGTTTTACCCAATAAGTAGGTTACCTGTGGGGTTTTCCCCCCTTAAAAATGTGTCACTGAATGAATAAGGGTACCTGGGTAACAAAGGGGAATTAGGTTTAGATTTTTTACTAGAGATATTTAATTAATACCGGTGCTAAGGTCAGTAGGTTCCCCAAAGTACCTGTTTACTTAGGAACCTCTTAGTTGTGATATACCAACATGGGTCACTATGATGGTGGTATACCAACATGGGTCACTATGATGGTTGTATACCAACATGGGTCACTATGATGGTGGTATACCAACATGGGTCACTATGATGGTTGTATACCAACATGGGTCACTATGATGGTGGTATACCAACATGGGTCACTATGATGGTGGTATACCAACATGGGTCACTATGATGGTTGTATACCAACATGGGTCACTATGATGGTGGTATACCAACATGGGTCACTATGATGGTGGTATACCAACATGGGTCACTATGATGGTGGTATACCAACATGGGTCACTATGATGGTGGTATACCAACATGGGTCACTATGATGGTGGTATACCAACATGGGTCACTATGATGGTGGTATACCAACATGGGTCACTATGATGGTTGTATACCAACATGGGTCACATGATGTGGTATACCACATGGGTCACTATGATGGTGTATACCAACATGGGTCACTATGATGGTGGTATACCAACATGGGTCACTATGATGGTGGTATACCAACATGGGTCACTATGATGGTGGTATACCAACATGGGTCACTATGATGGTGGTATACCAACATGGGTCACTATGATGGTGGTATACCAACATGGGTCACTATGATGGTGGTATACCAACATGGGTCACTATGATGGTGGTATACCAACATGGGTCACTATGATGGTGGTATACCAACATGGGTCACTATGATGGTGGTATACCAACATGGGTCACTATGATAGTGGTATACCAACATGGGTCACTATGATGGTGGTATACCTATGTGTCACTAGTTTGGTGGTATACCTAATGTAGAGTCATTAGTGTGGTGGTATACCTACGGTAGAGTCACTAGTGTGCTGGTATACCTACGGAAGCCACTAGTGTGGTGGTATACCTACGGTAGAGTCACTAGTATGGTGGTATACCTACGGTAGAGCCACTAGTGTGGTGGTATACCTACGGTAGAGTCACTAGTATGGTGGTATACCTACGGTAGTCACTAGTGTGGTGGTATACCTACGGTAGAGTCACTAGTGTAGTGGTATACCTGCGGTAGAGTAGTGTGGTGGTATACCTACTGTAGAGTCACTAGTGTAGTGGTATACTTACGGTAGAGTCACTAGTGTGCTGGTATACCTACGGTAGAGTCACTGATGGTATACCTATGGTAGAGTCACTGGTGGAATACCTACGGCAGGGTCGCTGGTGGTATACCTACGGCAGAGTCGCTGGTGGTATGCCTACGGTAGAGTCACTAGTGTGCTGGTATACCTACGGTAGAGTCACTGGTGGTATACCTACGGTAGAGTCACTAGTGTGGTGGTATACCTACGGTACAGTCACTGATGGTATACCTACGGTAGAGTCACTAGTGTGGTGGTGTACCTACGGTAGAGTCACTAGTGTGGTGGTGTACCTACGGTAGAGTCACTAGTGTGGTGGTATACCTACGGTAGAGTCACTAGTGTGGTGGTGTACCTACGGTAGAGTCACTAGTGTGGTGGTATACCTACGGTAGTGTCACTGGTGGTATACCTGGTATATCAACTTGCAGATAGTGTAGCAGGCTGGTATATCCTCTCAGTACACTGCTACAGTGTATACTGTCTCACCACACCGCCAGCCCAAGCACTTTCTCCCTCTCTTACTGCCTCTCTTACTGCCTCTCGTACTGCCTCTCTTACTGCCTCTCTTACTGCCTCTCTCACTGCCTCTCTTACTGCCTCTCTCACTGCCTCTCTTACTGCCTCTCTCACTGCCTCCTTACTGCCTCTGTACTGCCTACTGTACGCTCTCTCATGCCTCTTACTGCCTCTCTACACGCCTCACTTACTGCTCTTCATGCCTCGTTACTGTCCTCTTACTGCCTCGTCAATGCCTCTTACTGCCTCTCACTGCCTCTACGCCCCTGTGTCCTACTGCCTCATACTGCCTCTCTCACTGCCTCTACAGCCTCTCTTACTGCTCTCTTACTGCCTCTTACTGCTCTCTCACTGCCTCTTTACTGCCTCTCTCACTGCCTCTCTTACTGCTCTCTCACTACCTCTTACTGCCTCTCTACTGCCTCTCTTACTGCCTTTCTACTGCCTCTCTCACTGCCTTATGCCTCTCACTACCTCTCTTACAGCCTCTCTTACTGCCTCTCTTACACTGCCTCTCTTACTGCCTCTCTACCCCATGCCTCTCTTACTGCCTCTCCCTCTCTTACTGCCTCTCTACTGCCTCCTCTGCTCTTACTGCCTCCTCTCTACTGCCTCTCTTACTGCCTCTCTACTGCCTCTCTACTGCCTCTCTACTGCCCTCATCTTACTGCCTCTCTCACTGCCTCTCTTACTGCCTCTCTACTGCCTCTCTTACTGCCTCTCTCACTGCCTCTCTTCACTGCCTCTCTTACTGCCTCTCTCACTGCCTCTCTTACTGCCTCTCTCACTGCCTCTCTTACTGCCTCTCTCACTGCCTCTTACTGCCCCTCACTCTCTCTACTGCCTCTCTTACTGCCTCTCTACTGCCTCTCTTACTGCCTCTCTTCACTGCCTCTCTTACTGCCTCTCTTACTGCCTCTCTTACTGCCTCTCTTACTGCCTCTCTCACTGCCTCTCTTACTGCCTCTCTCACTGCCTCTAGCTTACTGCCTCTCTTACTGCCTCTCTTACTGCCTCTCTACTGCCTCTCTTACTGCCTCTCTACTGCTCTCTCTTACTGCCTCTCTACTGCCTCTCTTACTGCCTCTCTTACTGCCTCTCTTACTGCTCTACTCTCTCTCACTGCCTCTCTTACTGCCTCTCTCACTGCCTCTCTTACTGCCTCTCTTACTGCCTCTCTTACTGCCTCTCTTACTGCCTCTCTTACTGCCTCTCTTACTGCCTCTCTTACTGCCTCTCTTACTGCCTCTCTCACTGCCTCTCTTACTGCCTCTCTCACTGCCTCTCTTACTGCCTCTCTTACTGCCTCTCTTACTGCCTCTCTTACTGCCTCTCTACTGCCTCTCTTACTGCCTCTCTTACTGCCTCTCTTACTGCCTCTCTCTTACTGCCTCTCTTACTGCCCTTAGCCTCTCTACTGCCTCTCTTACTGCCTCTCTTACTGCCTCTCTCACTGCCTCTCTTACTGCCTCTCTACTGCCTGCCTCTTACTGCCTCTCTTATGCCTCTCTTACTGCCTCTTCATGCCTTCTTATGCCTCTTACTGCTCTCCTCTTACTTGCCTCTTACTGCCTCTTTATGTCCCTGCTCTCATGCTCTTACTGCCTCTGTTTACTGCCTCTCTCACTGCCTCTTACTGCACTTCTTATGCCTCTGTTAGTGCCTCTTCACTGCCTCCTACTGCTTCGTTAGTGCCTCTTACTGCTTTTACTGCTCTTCATGCCTTCTACTAGCTCTGTTTACGTGTAGCTTAGCTTGTCACTTTCTGTAACATGCCTCTGTTAGTGCTTCACTGTGTGTAAGCCTGCGTACTGCCTGCTTAGTGACTCTTCACTGCCGGTTAGTGACTTCTATGTCTCAGTACGTGGTCTGTAGTGGCTGTTATGCCGTCGTATGCTGTCACTGCTCGTAGTTGTAAGTGCGTGCTGTTAGTGCTTGTACATGCTCGTAGTGCCGTGAGACTGTATGCTCTATCCACGCCTATCCATCTATCCACTGCTATACTCGTCTAAGCCACTATACAATCATACACCACTGCCTACTCACACTGACCACCACACTTGCACATGCTATCACAGACACGTAACACTATCGAGCAGTGCCTACTGACCACAACACTACACCACCACTAACCACCTATGCTTACTGACATACTATTCCACCATGAGGCCTAGCACAGTGACCGTGTGTTGACCACGAACACCTGTTGTTGTTGATCACAACTGACTGTTGTAGTGCGTCCACTGCTGTGTGTTGAAGTGTGGACTCACACTGAACCGTGTTTGTTGTGTGACTAAACTGTGTGTGGTAGTGAATGTTGCAGTTGTTGATCAGTAGGTGGTGGTGAGTGGACATGCTAGTATACTACACAACCATACTACACCACTACTTACTACCACCACCACTATACCTACCACAACTACAACCACCTAATACCACCATTACTACCACCACCATACTACCACCACCACTATACCACCACCACTACTGCCACAATTTACCACAACTAAACACCTTATCCACCACTTACTACCACCACCACTACTCCCGCCACTATACCTACACACTCACCACCACCACTACTGCACAATTACAAACACCACCCACTACTACACAACCAACTACTCACCACTACTACTACCACCACAAGCTCCTAGGCACAGGAAAGCCTGTTGTTGTTGACTCAACAACTGAACCTGTTGTTGTTGACTCAACAACTGAACCTGTTGTTGTTGACTCAACAACTGAACCTGTTGTTGTTGACTCAACAACTGAACCTGTTGTTGTTGACTCAACAACTGAACCTGTTGTTGTTGACTCAACAACTGAACCTGTTGTTGTTGACTCAACAACTGAACCTGTTGTTGTTGACTCAACAACTGAACCTGCTGTTGTTGACTCAACAACTGAACCTGTTGTTGTTGACTCAACAACTGAACCTGTTGTTGTTGACTCAACAACGAACCTGCTGTTGTTGACTCAACAACTGAACCTGTTGTTGTTGACTCAACAACTGAACCTGTTGTTGTTGACTCAACAACTGGTGAATAAATGGTACAATTACAAAACTGACTTATTATTTCAAAATGAATTAATGATCTTCAGTTTGTGGAATGATGTAATAGTAATGATAAGATTCTTTGTAGATGAATGGTTCAGAGAACCGACATGTTGATAAATTAGACACATGTGCAACTCTTGGGTATCTTTATTGAGGAAACGTTTCGCCACACAGTGGCTTCATCAGTCCATACAAAGGAGAATCTTGAAGAACAGGAGATTCTCCTTTGTATGGACTGATGAAGCCACTGTGTGGCGAAACGTTTCCTCAATAAAGATACCCAAGAGTTGCACATGTGTCTAATTTATCAACATGATAAGATTCTGTTGGGATTTTTAATCCCAGAGGGTTAGCTACCCTGGATAACCCCAAGAAAATCAGTATATTTCATCAAGGACTGTCTGTCTTATTTCCATTGAGGTCATCAATCTTGTCCCCCAGGATGCCACCCACACCAGTCGACTAACACCCAGGTACATATTTGCTGCTCCATAGTCGTGGAGATTCTGAATCTCCACGACTATGGTGCTCTTCGCACCTACTCCTAGGCTGAGGGACTGATTACCTCATCTTCTGTACATAGTTCTCCTGTCTTCAAGTTATGTCCTGGAATTTGTATTGATAAAGCCACTGGAGATAAAACACCTCAATTACTGGGAGCGCTTGAGGTTTCTAAACCTGTATTCCCTGGAACGCAGGAGGGAGAGATACATGATTATATACACCTGGAAAATCCTAGAGGGACTAGTACCGAACTTGCACACGAAAATCACTCACTACGAAAGCAAAAGACTTGGCAGACGATGCACCATCCCCCCAATGAAAAGCAGGGGTGTCACTAGCACGTTAAGAGACCATACAATAAGTGTCAGGGGCCCGAGACTGTTCAACTGCCTCCCAGCACACATAAGGGGGATTACCAACAGACCCCTGGCAGTCTTCAAGCTGGCACTGGACAAGCACCTAAAGTCAGTTCCTGATCAGCCGGGCTGTGGCTCGTACGTTGGTTTGCGTGCAGCCAGCAGCAACAGCCTGGTTGATCAGGCGCTGATCCACCAGGAGGCCTGGTCACAGACCGGGCCGCGGGGGCGTTGACCCCCGAAACTCTCTCCAGGTAAACTCCAGGATGGCGAAACGTCTACAATAAAGATACCCAGATGTTGCACATGTGTCTTAATCTCATCTTGTCGGTATTATATACCATTCTTACACAACGTAAGGAAACATGTCGAAATGATTCCACCTGCCGGGAATCGAACTCAGGCCCTCCGTGTGTTAAGCCAGAGCTTAGTACCGGGCCACCGGGCCTAGAAATAAGTCATCTGTTTTTTTTTTTTTTATCCTGTTGTGTAATTTACACTATGCATGATAATTGTACTTATGCGTATTTGTACCTAAATAAACTTATTTATTTACTAAAATATCCCCCAGATTCTCCATACGTGGTCAAAATATTCCCAGACTCACCATATATTGTCAAAATACCCCCAGACATGGTAGAATAAAATTCCAAAGATTCCCTAGATGTGGTTAAAATTGGAGGTGGTGTCCAGCAGGTAGCACCATGCTGGAGCTGGGCTCTGACAACTCTCCTGGTATGATCCACCACCATGGACGACCAGGCTGCCCTGAACACAGCAGACATGATCTAAGTTCATCCTGATCATACACAGAGGTGAACAAGAGGCACAGACGGGTAGCAGCAATTTGAATTGCAAGTGTACGAGAATTCTGCAGCAGAGGGAGATAGGCCTACTGCCGAGTGAGGGTAGGCCGAGGATGGACCATCACTTGGTAACATCATCCCTATGGTCAGGTCCATAGAGGTGGTTGTTCTCAAGTTGAAGTGTGTCAACTGAAACAAGAGAATGCCAGGTTCATCAGTGGGGTAGAAGTGGATCTTTGAAGCTGAATTACCAGTGACCAAGAAGCTAT